ATCCCTTATGTTACGTCATAGTCATTAACATATTGGGAATATAAACCCTTCGTATCTTAAAGACCCGACATTCAAATGACGAAATATTTTCACAATCAACTATCCACTACCTAAAGAATGAATTCTGAAAATATTGTGCAAAGGTTTATAAGCACTTTAAATTAAATTTCCCCTAGAATTGTTTTTAACTGACATAGGGCACACGAAGCCGTAAAACCATGAAATAAAATCAAAATCGATACTAACAAATAGTGAATGTGTTTTAGTCGCTTTAAATAAACAACAAAATTAATTGATATGAGGAAAGGATATTAATGGACGGAAGAACAGACGGACGAAAATTTAAAATTCCTTCAATCAAATTTGAAACGAAAATTTAAAATCCATCCAATACAACTATCTTTGCATGCGCCACTAACATTACTTATTGTTCTTGACATCGCAGGCTCTGACGCATGCGCTGTGAACATCTCAGTAACAGGAGCACCTCGGATTTCCGTCAGTGAGCAACAAAGTTATGTGCAGATTACGCTGACCAGTGACAACGCAACGTCTGCAGTTACAGTGACGTAAGTCTATAAAAGTACATGCGTCAAGAGTTCTGCGCTACTGCTCTAAGCGCTATTGCTCTAAGCGCTACTGCTCTAAGCGCTACTGCTCTAAGCGCATGCTCACTGGATCAAAAAGTGGGACCATGCATGGGTTGTGAAAATTTGTTCTCTCCCTTGCCACGAAGGTTTTCTCCGGGTTCTCCTGTTTCCTCCCTCCGTAAAAATCAACTTGTGAGTTGACTGTTGTATGTTGTAAATGTAAAACGTAATGGAAGTGAGTGTGGAGGGAACTTCTTGGAAGAGCCCAGTACGGGGAGTGGTGGTTGTAAAATATACGGTTTTTAAGCACACTTTTCATTAAATCTTCAAGAGAAAGTAGCGTTAAGCATATTCCAAATCAAATATACCAAAATATAGCCATTTAAAAAAAAATCCATGATCTCAATTTTTGACCCGCCCTTGAGCACGCGCTAAAAGCAGTAGCTTCTGCACTGGCATCTTTACACCGCCATGATAATGGTATTTTGTGGCACTCTCAGCCACAATCAAAAATCCGTTTTTGTTGAGATTAGTTATCATTTCCTCCTTCAATACATACCTCTGTTTCTGATGATCGACTAAAAGGTCCAGGTTTAACTTCATTTATAAGTTAGCTATTCATGCCGCAGATGGCTAACAATCCTTATTCATAGCTTCCATTGTCTGTAAGCTGTATTTCATCATTGCTTTATTTTTTATTTTATGTTAACTCCTAATTTTTCTATAAACGCTTTCACATGACGTCGCAGCTCTGTTGTCAGACATGACGTTACAGCCACCATATTGGTGTACCTTTGACAATAACTTTGTCATTAGTTTCTTTTGTTAGGTACACCAATATGGTTACCATCTCTGTTGTCATACATGACGTTCCAGCCACCATACTAGTGTACATTTAACAATAACTTTGTCCTTAGTTTCTTTTGTTAGGTACACCAATATGGTTACCATCTCTGTTGTCAGACATGACGTTACAGCCACCATACTAGTGTACATTTGACAATAACTTTGTCATTAGTTTCTTTTGTTAGGTACACCAATATGGTTGCCATCTCTGTTGTCAGACATGACGTCTCCACCGCCATATTGGTGTACCTTTGACAATAACTTTGTCATTAGCTTCTTTCGTTAGGTACACCAATATGGCTGTCATTTCTAGTGTCATTTAACTCTCTAGGGACTGAGAGAAAACGCTCTATTGCTGGATTTCACTTGACTCGTGTGCACCACGGATTATCAGCTGAATCGCGAGTTTTTAGTACAAGTCTTTCTCGCTGATAGCACATGGTAGTCCATTTGACCACCATTTGGATCAGATATAATTAGATTCAAAGATTTGTATCAGCTGATCTGAAACCAATGTACTTATGTATGAAACAAAATTTTATCATTTTCAGGGCATATCCCCACGCAGTAACGGCTACCAATGGCAGTGACGTGAAACTATCAAACACATCTATCAAATTTTCCGCTGGTCAAACTTCAGTGTCCACGAACATTACCATCGTATCTGACCAGTCTCTGGAGAATACTGAAACTTTCTACATCCAGTTTGTATCCACAGACCCAGAAGTTTGCATTTTGAACAACAATATCACTGTACGAATAACAAATGACGACAAAGGTATATTTTTGTGCATCATCAATGTGGGGTGTCTTGCTTTTTGTTCCTATACAGACGAGTACGTACAGGTGTGCAAGCTTAACGTTTAACCAATCTATCCGGTTGGAAATTCATTTGCTAATTCTCTACTTTCACATCCCCATAATACTTTGCTTCTTTTGGGGGTTAACCAGAGGGTAAAAACCCACTTATTTTGCTGAAGGCTGATCAGACAATGTTGACAATACCTTGTTTGGTATTCAAAAATAAAATGAAGAAATAAAAAACAGAAAAAGATAGAAGCTTGAAGACGTTTAAGCTAAATTTTAACCCTTTTTTCGTAAGTAAATACATTTTCTGTAAGACCAAAACTCTTGATGATCTGTACACGCAAAAATAAAAGCAGGTATAATATAAATTCAATTAAGAAACCTTTCAATTTGGGACAGTTTTTTGATTGGTTACCCCCCAAAACGCAAGGCATTATGGGGATGTGAAAGTAGAGAATGGCAAGAAAAGAGCGGGAAACTTCGACTTCCGACAAATTGCACACGCGTCTACCATAAGAACAGTGGGAAATTTTGTCTTCTCACAACATGGTACACGCGTCTACCGTGACAACAGAAAAGAGCGGGAAGAGTGTATTACATTATTTGAAAACCGAGTTTCCGTAACATTCCAATCGGAATGGCACATGTCATTTTTTTTTTTTTTTTTTTTTTTTTTTCAACCGAAAATTCCCTTTTTTCCGGGTAACTGATAAGCACCCCAGGGCTCTCAAAGTATAGTCAATTATGATTAATTAATTATAACTGGCGAGTAAAACCCCAACAGAAATCAGATACCCAGCTAGACTAGAGAAGCCTGAAAATCGGAAACTACCATATTGTCCTCATTTGCATTCAGTTTGAACATGGATTTTCTCGATCAAACTCACTTCAATCTCAAAAACTAGTAGAAAATTACATTACGCTCCTAGACATTTGATAACTAAGTTACAATATACGCGTCCGATTACAGTTTAGTCGCCCCCGCCTCGCCATTGTTGCCCACACGGATCGGCCGCTCATATTATATATCAGTGTTACTTATATTTAAAACTCGTAGCTTTTTTATTGCCGTTGCAGTGACTGTTGGATTCAGTGATACACTTATTTCCGTAAGAGAAGATAATGCACATATTCCAATCAAATTGACTCTAACGGGTCAATCAGCCATTCCTGTTACTGTAGGGTAAGCAAAAATGAAAAAAAAAACAAAACAAAAAACAAAAAAACACACACAAAACTGACGGACGGACGGACGGACGGACGGACGGACGGA